CATAAATGAGAATTCTGTTATGAAAGCGACAGAATAGCTACATTTCAGTCACCTCCTCGCACAGTAATTGCATGACTATATAAAAGCAGCACAAGAGTCGCATGGAAAACTTTCGTTATTTTTTTTGGAGTCTGACAGCCAGTGGTCACCTTCGTTGTTTTAAAAAAAGGCAACCTGGATGTTTTGAAAGTCTCGAGAAGAAACTTGAAAAGTCCTTTTTGAAAAGAGTTGGGGGAAAAAAACATACGTTTTAAGTGAGAATGTACAGTATTTTGGCTAATTTTTAATTTAATTTAATTTAATATATTTATTTAATTTTCCATTTGATCTAGTAATTTCATCATACTGTTAAATGTAGCCTAATCTTTAGCAAATCTCAAAATGAATATCCATTTTTCATACTGTACATTATAATGTTGCCTAATGATGTCTAAATTCACTTGGCACATTTAAACTGATCTTAAGTAGGGATGTAATGATTCACTCAACTCACGATTCGATTCGATTCACGATTTTGATTTCACGGTTCGATTCGATTCACGATTATTATTTTATTTTTTTTACAAAATGAGATTTAAGACAAATTATAAATTAAATGTGTCCTTTTATTATTGCTAAGTGTTTTATTTTTGATTTATTTAAACAAAATCTTATAGAATTTAAATATCAGTGATCAGCCATAACATGAACACAATTATCAGCTTACTATCCCAGAATCTTTACATCCCTAGTTTTGAGCAACATGAGGGCAAGGAGATGATGCATTTTCTTTATGGGGCGAAAAACAGACAGCGGCTTCCTTTCTACTGATTTTGCTGAGCATATCAGCCAAAGAGCAGACGCAGACCCTTCTTTAAACAGATTACATACTGTTTAGAGCAGTGGGGCCAAAGACTGGTAATCCACCGTTGGGAGTGGGTGGGTGGGTAAAACACAACCGCTGGTGGCTGATTGCACACGCACTCGCTGTGGGAAACATTCTCATACCTCACACCCACACAAGACGTCACTCTCCTCTGGTCACCATTCACTGGTCTATCAGAAACCCCTGTGCTTCATGCCTGAGAGCAACACACTACTCGCCAGATGGCTTCCTGTCTGAAACCGGTGCCTCAATGAGAATGTGATGATACACATCTCGTTAAGCAATTAAAATGCCCCCATTGCTCTCACGTCCACAAGGTCCCTGGGGGAGCGGCACGGCGAGAATGCGATTTGGAAAATGTGACTCTAGAAATCCCAACAATTCAAATAAGACCTACATGTAATTAAAAGCTTGTCCTTCGTCATGTTAATGGCCACGAAGAGGAGTGCAAGCGAGGCTTCCAAAGTCTCAGGAGCCGAGAGAGATTTAAATGTAAACAAGCCTGTTAAACACGTCTAACAAGCATGCAGATTGGCACAGCTGTCAGATGGCTTCCTGCCTGTTGGTGGGAATGGCGTTGGCCTCCGTGAACTGAAACTCACTGGACAGACAACAGGTGTTAAACCCTTTGCTGTGGCCGCCCAACATGCTCCTAATCTCTTGCATAAGCAGTTAAAACTGAAGCCCTGTTTACACTAGTGCGTTTTCGTTTTAAAACGGCGTTTTAAAATGAAAACGATCCTCGTCTACACTTGCGTTTTCACTGCGTTTCAGAAACGTTCTCCGTCCACACTACACAACCAAAAAATGCATGTCATATGACCATTCATACAGGTACAACAATGAGCATGATGTTATTGTTTACAAGGTCGTCAAGGATGCGCAGAGCGAATGTGGGCAGCCATGCCATCGTTTTCAAAAGTCTCCGTTTTGGTCCGTTTACACTGAAACGCAACGAGGAGGACGAGGATCGAAAACACCAGAGTAGTGTAAACAACAGAACCGTGGCAAAGGTTATGCTTTTTAAAACAAAAACGCACTTGTGTAAACGTAGCATGAAAAGGGTAAGGCTGAAGTACACATCTCAGAATATTTTAGAAAATTTTAAATTTAAAATTAAATTTTTGATGGCCAATGCTGATATCTTAGAGAGCAGGGTGGCTGATGGTCGTTATAAAGCCGATATATATGATATCACACTATTTAATTTAAAGGCAGTAAAAGCATTCAGCACTGACACATTCGCCAAACAGAAATACTGATCAGCCAATTGCCAAATATCATACGATATATAGCAGTCCTGGCGATGTATCGGTCTACCACTAAAAAAAGGCATTTCACTGCCTTCCTAAATATGACAAGTAAACTTTAAATTTAATTGTCAACATCATGACAACACCTACATTAATTAGGGCTCCAGACTGCAAGTAAAATGATAGCAGATGCAACCAATCAACAAAGTGTGATTCACAAACAAATGACCCTTATGAACTGTTCTTTTTTTAATGAATTTCTCACAAAAATGTAAATTAAGAAGTTCCACATACTTGCTGATCTTCTAACGATAACAAAGCACAAAATTACCATTAAAATGAATGCATGTCCCTGTGAAATCTTCCATTACTGGAACAGAACTGTTATGAACAAACATCTACAATGACCAATTGTGTAATCTGGAAACATTTTTTTTTTACTTGAAGGCCACATATGTGAGAATAAAACATGATAGTTCCCATTAATATTTTGGTTTAAAAACACAAATCTAAAAACACAACCACATCAAGACAAACAGCCCAGCAGTCCTCAGCCGCTCAAAATCTCCACGAGAGATTTCACGGGTCATAAACAGCGCCACTTTTCTCAGTCTACTATGTGACCACCATCACGACTCAATTGCCATTGATTACATAAAAATTACATTTTTGTTCAGCCTTTTAATTTTCCTAAAGCACCCAAATTCAAGTTCTGAGCATTTTTTACAGATTAAAAAATCTCCCTTTTTAATTTAGTTTTATAGCTTCAAGAAATAGCAATGAACAAAGTTTCAATTCACCCTACACTGGCCCTTTGAGTTTGAAATCACTGTAGCTAATGTAAAAAGAGCACTTAGATCTGTGCAACAAAGCAGTATATCAAATCCGAATTATCTACGCACAGTATTTTCCATCTAATTATCAGAATAATGCAGATATTAAAAATGCAGAGATACAAAGAGACAAAACTCCTCTCACCTCTTTTACCGCTGACCCTGTGCTAATTTCACAGACAAAACGAACATGTACACATGCGTGATGAATTAGGGGAGAATAACACTGGTGTGGTATGTCTGCCTTTATCACAGGAGAGATTAATCAAGGAGAGGAATGTGCATCCATAATCAGTGCTGCATTCCTAAGGTTGCCAAAAGCAAAAAGAGTAATGGCATCGCTGTGATACGAGGGATGTTGTACACTCGAGGGGATGTTGGATCTAGACTGTGTTCTTTCAGGAAGAGGAGTCAGCTGGTGATTATATGCTAAATCTGATCTGATGTATTTGACTTTTCAGAGCTTAAATAATTTAATCTACAAAATCCTATTAAAAACTAAAACAGTCTACGTACATGGTTCTGAGATGGATTTCATGCCATTGCAAAACTAAACGTATAATGCAAACAGTAACCTACTCCAATGCCCACTTGGGTCTATATGCTTTTGTGAGACCATCACATGTGATTGGGGAAAGATAATTAAGTCAAATCTACAATTCTTACCCAGAACACAACAAGATGACACTAACTACCAGTTGCTGGTTATTCCTGACATGACTGCTATGGAGCTTCCTGATGTGGTGAGTCCTGTAACCACTATCCTGGCAGCCAGTGCTCACTACAGTGTTTACAAGGGGCTGTTTTATAACACAGTAATTTTCCACCTCCATCACCGGAAAAAACACAAACATGCAGAAATCGAAAATGACACAAACATCTAACACAGCAAGTTCTGTTTCCACCTGAAATAGTAGGATAGGCACCATGAGAGCTTTACCTTCCAAAACTTTAACATGGTAAACATAGTTTTGTCCAAAATGAATTACATTATAACTAGGTAACTACGAGCCAAGATAGAACTAAAAATGAAATCACAGAGGTATTTTGATGCTTCTTACATTGTTTGAATTAAGTTAACTACAGTAAGTTTATTTTCAGAATGTTTACATTTAAGTAAAATACTGATATAGCTACTATGGTTTCCATGTTCATTTTTTGAAAGGTTGCCATTCAGTTTCATATAACCACGGAAATCCAACTGACCTCAACATCATTAGGTTTTTAACCCTGTCAGTTATTAACCCCAAGTAAACTTAATCCTGGGTTATTTAGTTTCATCTTTCACATAACTTTACCCTACTGAGTGGTCAAATTTCCGATAGCTCACACTGTACATGTACAAACTTTGGTTTAACGCTCTTATTTGCATATGTATGATGTCAATAATATGTTGGGGGGGGGACCTGTTTCAAAAACTGCTTGTCCACCGTTCAAATATCACCACTGAGCTTGTAAAGTCTGCTGAAACAGGAAACTTTCTCAATAATCCTGCCAGTTAACACATTTACGCCACTGTTCGGCATTTTAATCATTTTACTTAAAACGCTTAAACAGCGCTTGAAAGTTTACGCGGAATACGTAAGTAAGTGCGTGAAAATTTAATGAGGTAAACACTAGGACGGTTTATAAATGGTTGTCTGCTGCCGAACACTCGCTGTTTACGTTGTGGCATTGCATTGCAGGGTTAACCTAGGGTTAAAAGCAGTGCTAACATTCTATACAAGTGTGAAAGGTTGCTTAACCCAGGGTTAAAACTGGCCTTTACCTGGGGTTTAGAAAGAGGTTAACCCAAGTGTAGTATTAAAAGTCAATATAAAGAGTATTATTATACTCGTCTAGTATTTCGCAGATGAGGGAGGGCAAGTGGTATTATTTACTCGCTAAAGTTCTTCTACACACGGGCTGTGTCTCAAATCCCTAGTATAGAGATAGTATTTTGTGGCTGCACACGCCTATGATGCCCCGAACATTTTGGTAATGTTAGAGCTCACTGGGTTTTGAGCCACAACCAACACTTAAGATAAAACAATTCTGTACAAGCATCACCTTTGGTTTTTCATCCTGTTCTCCTTTTTGTTCAAAACCCCCGGTACGCAGTTGGTCAGTTCGGTCCAGTCCGCGTGTAAGCCACAACTCCAACCGGTGGAGAACCGAGAGAAGAGCCAGGTCTCTTTCCTGTTGGGTCGGTAACAGGTACACTTCTTCTGTCCCGGTCTACAGTCGCAAGGAACCTCCAGCCTGACATTCTGGACCAGGTGCCTCCCGAACGTGGTGCCGCCGGTCTTCTGGATGTGGAGGAACACGATCACATCATCCCCTTTGATTTCAAAATCCACAGTCCGCTCCAGATCCCTGATGGGGAAATAGAATTTCTTCACGTAATGTGGATCAGGAGTCGGGAAGAGATCCGCATCGTTTTCCAGCATGTACCCGTGCGGAGAGCCGAAGTTCATCATCCCCGGAGCCACGTACTGATACAAAATCAGCATGAACAGAACCGAGCCGACAACGATGAACAGAAATTTACTGCTCCTCTCAACCATGTTCCTTCCAGTGAGGAGGTTCATGTGTTACCATTTCCCGGTTGACTGTTTTTTAGGGTGTCTCCATATAAACACACGGCAGTCAGAGCATCGCGCGTGGAAACTGAATCGTCAGACACATTGGATCAGAATGAAAACGGTCGGACTCATTGCATAAGTAAGAAGTGTTGCAGTATACGATCCAGTACGGCGCGATCTCCCTCCTTCCACCACTGTATGTCACAGTGTGTTTAAAGTCCGCGACACATCGCTGTGAAGCTCCTCCAGCAGCGTGCACAGCGACACCCACTTTCCCAACACGCGCGCACTGCACGATCTCAAACACAAACGGGCACAATATTTAGTTTCGAGTGAACGCCCGCGACTCCTATTGCATTATGATATTTCTCTAAGCGGCGTTCAGGAAGCAAAGCAGGCAGTTCCTTCTTTAAAAAAATTCTGATTTAATCGACAGTACGAAATAAAATAAAATAAACACCTCAAACTAATTACAAAGTAAACAACTTCCACACTACTCACTATTACCAAATGTCTTGAATCGTGTAATGATTTGTGCGTTTGTTTTTGGTAACTAATTACCTAAAAAGAAACTGAAAAAATAGACAAAATAATTTATTATTTTAAAGCAATATAAAAATGTTTAACAATGCATAAACTTGATGAGACTTTGATTTAATAAAAAGCATGTTAGTATGAGTCAAATATTAAATAAAAACAACAAACAAAATATATAAAATTATATAATTTATTTATAGTTAATGGTAAGTAAATAAGCAAGATAACAGATTTTTTAAATAAACCGTCTATGTATACTTATGACATATAAAATAGTACAACAATGGTACAAATGGAGCCCGGTCTCATAAAAATGCGTATAAATAGTACCCCAAATAAAAACAAAAACTTGTGGTATTGATATGCAAAAATGGATTTTGGGGTGTACATGCTACGCACGTGTTTGGCGTGCATAGGCCTATAATACGCAGTTTTCCCGTGCATATGATACAACATTTGTTGGCGTGCATATGATAGCCTACGCAGTTTTCGCGTACATATGATACGCATCTACCCACAACCCTAATCCTATCCATCGCGTAGCATATACACGCCAAAGTCCATTTTTGCGTATGAATACCACAAGTTTTCGGTTTTATTTGGCGTAGGCCTACTATTTATACGCACTTTCATGAGATCGGGTTATAGTCACTCAAACGGTTTTATAGTGCTGGCTGGAAAATGAATTTATGTAACAGATTAAATGGTATGATAATATACACTGTGAAAGATAAACTTGCCTTAAAAGGTAAAATGGTCATTTGTCATTGAGCAGTCAAGTGTAAAACAATATTTTTTATGTGTATGTTCATCTCTGATAACATAAAAATCATAATTCATTTTTAAAAGAAGAGTTTGTGTAAAGAATGAGAGACTGCTCTTTGACTTGACACAGTGAAACATAAAATCAACAAGAGAATCGTTGAGCTACTGTAGTACTCAGCCTGTACTCTTCTTTCACAGCTAGCGGGCAGTATCGAGAGCTGTGCTGAATTGTATATAGAGATCTGTAGTTGTTCATTGCCATTGCCTTTTGATTTTGCCTCATGAATGTGCAAGAGTAGCATGCCTCTTGTAATATATCTTTTTATTATTACTATTATTATTATTATGTTGTTGTTGTTGTTTTGTGGGAAATTGTATGTACTAAATCTCAGTGAATATGTTGAGAGAAGCAGGCAAAAATAATTAAATTATTATTGAATTCTATAAATTCTCTATTGGCATTATACACAATTTACTCAGACATTAATTCTATTTTGCCTTAATCATATTTGCCTCTTCCACATCAAACACAACTACAGGTGAATGAAAAGCTAAGTAAACCCATGCAAAACATTATTCTACTAAAACTATAAACTGAATGCTTATCGTTACACATAAGCCTACTTAGCTAATGCATTAGCATTAGTTATTTCCCTGGCTCATATATCTCTCTTCTCAGAACGGCCTGATCGTGTACAAATTAACTCAAACAAATGATGTATGTAACTTGCTCGCTTAAATACCGCAAGCCAAATTAACATATTTTTATTTACAACTACAGCAGCGGCCTGAAGAAAGCCTGTCATTTGATATCATGATTATTGCGCCTGGGGACCCACTGCATAATAAAGCTATGGAAATGCTGTGTTGTGGCTGATCATTTGACGCTGAGGAGCTTCACTGAGATGAATTGTAAAGTGTGTCCTGCCCTCTGGTTCTCTTCTGCAGACACAACAGCTCCAGTTTTCAAATGGTGGGCTCCATTGTGCAGAACTTTTTCACTTAAGTACATTTCTCCATTGTTGTAGTAGATTTAGTGCACAGTAGATGCTTTATGTATGCATTGGTTAATACAGCTAGTTAATGTTAAGTAGTGCAAACAGGGATACTAGAGGTGCCAGCTGTCCTGTATAATATGCATTTGTCCCATAAAGATATTAAGAGTTTTGTATAAGACTTCCATGACATTAATCACATGTAAAACCATTAAGAAGAGTTTACATACATTACACAACTTTTAAAAGCGGTACTGATTTTATAATACTAGGCATCACACACTAACAGTGTGATAAATTTTATAATTTTGCAAACATTCCCTTACGAAAAAGAAGTTTATTCAAGTGTGCTATTAGTATACTTCTTTTAAATTAAAAATAGGAAAGTATACTTTTAGTCTACTTTTTATGTACTTCTCAGAAATATACTTAAAATGACATTTAAGTATACTTGACTTATACTTAGAAAAAGTCTAAAATAAACTTGAAGTATACTACTTTTTGGTAAGGGTTATGGGAATGTTACTTTTGAATGTTCTCTCAACATTCGGAAACAAGCAGTAACATTTAAAAACATCAGATTATCGTCCAACTAAAATGTTTCAGGAATAAAAAATAATGTTTTTGTACTAACATTTTAAGAATATTATTATTAAAGACCAGATAACTTTGATTAATGTTACTGGAAGAACGTTTGTTCATAACTTTGAGAGAACCTTGGAAATTCTTGACCACAACAAGCTGTATATGGACCAGACCATGGTTTACTTTTGGCTTTTATATTTCTTTTATGAGCTGTTAATCAGAATATTGCCCTTTTTTTGTAAATAGTTAAATCAGTTTCTTTCTGTACTGAACTGTTAATTAAAATATCGCAAATACAAAACACTTTATAATTGAATTGTGTGCTTGTTCATCCATAAATATTTATGTACTGTCACAATTCTGTGGTGTTCTGTGGTGTCGTGAAACTCTAGTATGAAATACATCTATTTCTTTAAAACAGATAAAACAAAATTGTACGTCAGTATAAGCCAAAACGTGACATCTTTAGCACTTAACAGTCAAACAGTGACTCTTTTTACATAGTTGCTAGCACACTTAATTGGATAATTCATACAAAAATTAACAATATTTTATCATCAATTACTCACCCTTATGCATGCTTTTCTTTCTTCTGCAGAACACAAAATATTTATTAGAACACTGGGATCCAAACAACTTTGGACCCCATTGATTTTCATTTTATAGAAACAAAACACACTGCAGACATTTTTTCAAAATATTGTCTTCCACTGAAGTACTAAAGGTTTAGAACAAACATGACATTGAGCAAATGAAGACAACATTTTCATTTTTGGATGAAGTATCCCTTTAAACCTCAAATGGCATGTGTTGTATAAAAAAATTAAGATTTCCCTGTACTTTCCTAAAAAGAAAGTCAAAATCTGATTTCCTTCACCTGAAATTGACAACCCCTGCTCTGCTGCAGTGTGTAATGTTGATGGGAGTATTGGTTTGCCACAACTCTCTCTGTTCTTCTGTTATGAATTGTTTCTGTTATGAAAGAAAGCAGCTTTTACTGTCATACCTTCCTGCAACTGTTTTCACTTTGTGCACAGTTGAACTGAAAGGAAAAAGACCTCTCTACCTCTCTTTTATACACACAGGGCTGCTTTTGATTATGTCCTGAGACTTGCTTACTAGAGCACCTCTGACCCCTGGCTTCACTGTGTCCTTCTACTACAGCACATTGGAATGCTGTTGTTGTTATTGTTATTTTTCTCCAATGCAGAGCTCAGAATTGAGGACTTAGGTAACATTAAATCTCAAATTCATTACTAAAAAATAACATTTATGGACAGAATGGATAGATTTTTTTTTTTTTTTTGAGAAACACAAAAAATCAAACCTAAACATAACTCGAAACTCAACTCAAGTTCATATACTTGAAATGCATGATAATATTCACTACTACAATTCACATAAAATGTTTGATTAAGAAAACATCTCCAGGAAATATCTATATAATATCATAGAGGCCTGAGTCTAGCTGACGACAACCATGAACATTTAGAATAAGATTATAATTCCTCTGAACGCAATTTTAATCCTAATCCTACATTGCATCTCTGACCTTAAGAGATACAACACATTTTTGTGTGTGTCGCACACTCATACAAATACACATTTTAGGGCATGAGATGACAAAAGCAACCAATGGTTAACTTCTTTTATTCAGACTGTTTTAAAAAATTATCTCAGCTCCAAAAATACATATTTGGATGGCTAGCATGTGCAGGCAAAATACGTTTTTTAAATCCTGTTACCTCCTGGATTTAGATTTACTCAACTGCCTTGACTAAATTAATGATGTGCACAACTTTAACGGCTACATGTGGGAGTTATTTATTCCTTGTTTTGACAGTGACAGCAAGATATAAGATCCATTTTTAAGATCTGTAAGAGTGAGAGAGAAAATGAGTGTAAGGTCATAGTTACTGTGTGCAGCTATTTTTCTGCCAACAAAGTTGCTGAATGTGTAATATTAATGGACCTACATAGATAAGGGGGTGTTTCAGCAGATTGTGTGAGTATTGCTTACCTCAGATGGACAGGACAGGCGTAGAAGAAAACGGAGCTCTGGCCTGAAACTGAGGCCTGTGTGAATTTAGATGGTAAGAAATTCTGATGTAAGCCCTGAATCATCTTATATGACTACCTGCACCCATTTGTGACCCTGGACCACAAAAGCAGTCTTAAATCGCTGGGGTATATTTGTAGCAATAGCCAAAATTACATTGTATGGGTCAAAATTATTGATTTTTCTTTTATGCCAAAAATCATTAGGATATTAAGAAAAGATCATGTTCCATGAAGATATTTTGTAAATTTCCTACTGTAAATATATTAAAACTTATTTTTTTATTAGTAATATGCATTGCTAAGAGCTTCATTTGGACAACTT